GGTTCGATGGCCTGGGACCTGACGGGCGTCGATTTCAGCTACCCGGATGAGTACCAAGACGACTCAACCGTCCAGAACTACTTCCGCCCGCCGCACCCAACCGGCAGCCGCTGGGCGAAGCTCATCGACGCGCTGGAAGTCTTTCGGCAGGTCGTCGATCGCCGGGACCTGAACGCCCGGATCGGGCTGGTCTCTTACTCGAGCAATTACACGTTCGGGCTATTCCATTCGGCGACGGTGACGACCGACCAGACCATGAGCCCAGATACGTATCGCTTCGTCGACGCCGCGCGGGCGATCAGCCTGAATCCGATCATCGGCGATACGAATATCGGCGCCGGCATCGACCGCGGGGTCTCGGTCATCACCGATCCGGCCGTTAGCCGCATGACCGCCAACCGCACGATTGTCCTGCTCAGCGACGGCCGCCGCACCGAGGGCGCCGACCCGATCGGACGCGCGCAGCTCGCGGCTGGGCAACGCATCACGGTGCATGCGGTGTCGTTCGGCGACGGCGCCGATCAGAACATCATGCAACAGATCGCCGCTATCACCGGCGGCAATCACTACCACGCCAACTCGGGCGCCGAACTCGAAGAGGCTTTCGAACAGATCGCCGAAGAACTCCCCGCGGTCCTTATCCAATAGTCGCCAGCCCCCATAACCGCCCCGTGCCAGTACCCGTCAGGCGCCAAGATGTTCCCCCTTAAGCTCCCCGCGACACGGACTCGCCGCCGCCACGCCTCGCTCTTGCGGCGCGGCGTGGTGGCGGTCGAGTTCGCGTTCTGCGCTTCGATCGTCTTCTTCTTTTTCCTGACAATGATCGAGGTCGCCCGCTTCCATATTGTGCGGCACTCGCTCGACCAGGCCGTCTACGCCGGCGCCCGCGTCGGCATTGTCCCCGGCGCCACCGCGGCCGACGTCAACCAGTCCGTCACCGAGCGTTTGGCGATGGCGGGCGTCGTCGGCGCGACGATCACCGTGACGCCACCGGTGATCAATACATCCACGCAGGCCGTCACCGTCCACGTCGCGGCGCCGTACAACGAAAACAGTTGGACGCTTCCGAAGTTCTTCTCCGGCGTCGATGTCGTCGCGGAGATGACGCTGGACCACGAGAATGTGGCGTTTAATTAGGCGCTGGTTCACAGGCGCTAGGCGCTAGTTGAAAGTGTCGAATTATGGAACTAGCACCGAGCGCCTCACAACTAGCGCCTCGTTAGCCTTCGGCTAACGCATACGCCGTCGCGTACGCTCGGCAGTGGCTGATCGAGACATGGATGCGTTCGATCCCCGAACGCTCCAGCACGTCGCGGGCGCCCCCGTACAGCCGTACTTGCGGGACGCCCGCGGCGCTGTTTCGGACCTCGACGTCACGCCACGAGATGCCCCGCACCCAGCCCGTTCCCAAGGCTTTTAGCACGGCTTCTTTCGCCGCCCACCGCCCCGCGTAGTGCTGCGTCGCCGCCTTGCGGCTCGCGCAGTACTCGATCTCGTGCTCGGTATAGACGCGGCAGATAAACAGCTCCCCATGCCGCTCGATCATCCGAGCGATCCGCAGCACTTCAACGATGTCGGTGCCGACGCCGAGAGTGGACATGGGAGGAGAGGCAATTGCAGACGGCAGTGGGCAGGAAGATGTTCGATGAGCGAGCGGAGCGAGCCGTCTTTATCCCCCTCCCTTCTAGGGAGGGGCTAGGGGAGGGTGAAACGCATCGAGCTGAGGTCAGCGTACGTACCATCTCAGCTTTGCGGCTCAAATAGCCAAGCAAGTGTGACGTAGCGGATAACGCCGACCCTCCCCTAACCCCTCCCAAACAGGGAGGGGAACTCGAGGCGACCCACACTCTACTCTAGCCTCTCAAGCCCGCAGAGCTTGCTCCAAATCCGCGATCAAGTCCGCCGAGTCCTCGATGCCGCACGCCAGGCGGATCATGTTGTCGGGGATGCCGAATGCTTTGCGTTCTTCGGGCGTCCTTTGGTAGTAGCTCATCACCAGCGGCTGCTCGATCAGCGACTCGACGCCGCCGAGGCTGGGGGCGATGCGGCAAAGCTTTGAGCGGTCGACCACGTCGGCCGTCGCCCGCCAGTCGGCGTCCTTCACGAGGAACGTCACGAGGCCGCCAAAGCCGCGCATGTACTTCTTCGCCTGGGCGTGGTCGCGGTGCGATTCGAGGCCCGGGTAGTAGACCTTTTCGACGCGCGGGTGTTCTTCGAGGAACCGCGCTACGGCGAGGCCATTCTCGTTGTGCCGCTGCATCCGCAGCTCGAACGTCTTCAGGCCACGCTGCAGCAGGTACATTGCGTGCGGCTGGTTGATGGCGCCCATGATGCCGCGCAGCTCGCGCACTTGGGCGAGTTGGTCTTCCGAGCCCGCGACCGAACCCGCCAACAGATCGTTGTGCCCGCCCAGATACTTCGTGCAGCTGTGCAGCACGTAATCGACGCCCGCTTCGATCGGCCGCAGGTTGTACGGCGTGGCGAGCGTCGCGTCGATCAGCGTCTCGACGCCATTCTTGCGGCCGATCTCGGCGAACTTCTCGAGATCGATGCAGCTCTGGTGCGGATTGGTGGGCGACTCGCTGATGAGCATCCGCGTCGACGGCGTGATCGCCGCTTGGACCGCGTCGTAATCGCCTGTCTTGACGGTGATGGTCTCGACGCCGAACCGCGACAGGTGTTCGCGGCAGAACTGCCGGCTGCGGTGGTAACACTCGTCGGTGAAGACGACATTGTCCCCCTGGCCGAGCTTCGCCATCAGCACGCCCACCAGCGCCG